GGGGGGGGGGGGGTTTCTCGTAAAGCAAGGCTTTCGAAAACGATGACTCTGCTGGGTAGCTGCATTGGTTTACTAACACTTGTTTAGTTCTTTAATTTCTTAGCATCTTTATAAGGGTGATCTTGTTTTACATGGTGAAACAGGTCGTGATGTTGCCTGCATTTGATGACACGAGTCGTCTAAGCAGTTTGCGGTGCACGTTGCTCTGTTTTGTGTCGGATAGCGAAAAACTAAGTAGCTCATGAAGTCTAGTGATGTTTCTTGTCAACAATGTCTGTGACTCTGACCTTTTTACCTTATTTATTTCTTACTCCTTTCAGTGCAACTAACACTGTATGGCTGTAAACTTGTACGGCGTGTGGCATCCGGAAGGGCAGGCTGCAAAATGCTTGCGCCACGTTACGCATAATGCATAAAAATTATCGAGCAATTATCGAATTGTCATTATCGTTTTATCGAAAAACTTTATATCGTGATAATTATCGATATCGAATTATCGCCCAGCCCTAAGTGGATGTGTTCAATGTTGGCATGGTTCTCTTAAATATGACTGGATTTTTATCAGATGTAAGCAAATACAATAATTTCATCAAATTTTAAAACTAGTCTAAACAAGGCAGTGCCTAATAAGGACAGCATACGTGGGATATTTAGCGAGGGTACACAAATGTAATGTCCAACAATTGGTTTCAGCTGATTGATCGTTTAAAAACAATGATTGCATTTATATGTGCACAAATAACATGATTATTCGAAATGATCAGAGAAAGGAATTACTCCTATTTGATATGATTTTTAATATTTATGTCATTCCCTAAGAATCCAGTTTATTTTAAATTAGGTGTGCTGCTGGCCACTGGTTTAATTTATTTATGTCTAATGCAAAAGACTTCTTTGAGGTTGTATTTCATACTCTTTAGGCACCACAGAAATGTGAAGGCAACATGATTAAATTCTACTTGCAATCTTTGGGTAAAGGCAAAGAGTTGTGCAAATAATGGCAAAAAAGGTTAGCAAAAAAGCAGCTTAAACTATTACAGTAAACGGTACATTTAAAATAAAGCGAAGCAAGGTCAGCCAGCCCTCTCAGATATTAAAGGTGAAAAGAAAAGCTTAAGAACAGTTAATATTAGCATCAAATTCAGCTTATGTGCAGTTAAAATATCCTTATGTATTAATGCTATGTTTTTAAATTATATTAATATATTAAAAGTATGAGTGTGTTTGTTTCCCAGCACTGGGTTGCAGCTGGAAGTTGCCGCTGTGTAAAACATGTGCTAGAATGGTTCTGCTGAATAAAGGGCGTGAACCCAAGGAAAATGAATGAATATTTAAATCAATGTCCTGTAAAAAATGTGTGAAGGTCACGTAAGTATCAGGAAGAAGGCAGATTCTCATTTCTCACAGGACAAGTTCTCTGTTTAGCAGTCTTTCAAGTTTGTTCTTCTGAGGAACCGTCGCAAGAATGGAAAGAAACGTGTCCATTCCCTGCATGTATTTGGGAACATGCCTGGGTCTGTAAAGAAAAACATCAAACAACTTACAATGGTAGGCCTCACTGAAGTTAAAGTACAATAGACTTTATGAAATTCATGTTCGTACATTAGGCCAGGACCCGCATTCACAAAACATTTTAATGTTACCACTACAAGTTTTTCTAAAAAGCAGTACAAAAGACTTTTCTATTAAAAGCATGTCTGCAAAGCTGCTGAGATGAATTATTATTGAGGAATAGAGAGAAATCTTAATGCTAAAGGCTGATTTATACTTCTGCATCAAGCCTGGCTTATTGTCGACGCGTCCGCTAGAATGCATTGCTTGAATGTGCGCGGTGAATGTGACGTCATAGCGGAGTTTGCTGAGGTTCGCTTTGGGTGCGCATGACATGATTTCGGCTGGCGGAGCGCATGGTCTTTTTGAGACCTGAGCGAACAGTGTTTGATTTGAGTTGAATATGAAACACTTTGAAGAGAGTTTGTCAAACAAGATGACTGTACAGACATCTTTGTGATCCCTGATCATGGATATAACCTGGGCCCGGGTTTTCAAAAGTAATCCACTAGGATTTTGGATAAGGGATTGGATCAAATCTTGAAAATGGGTTTTTCAAAAGAAAAAAATGGATTACCTAATTGGATCCGGATCAAACCTTTAGTTTGGGTTTTTCAGACCTTTTTTGTAGGATCTGGATCACTTTGATCTAAAAAACCTGGATTAAACTGATCCCATCAGAAGGGTGGATTTAGCGTGGATTTCATGTTCAAAATGTAATAAAAACTTAAAATCTTACGAGATATACTATTTATTCATAAGATTTTATTTTTATTTGTTCATCTGTCAGGCTATAGTGATTATAGGCTTTAACTTATTCAGCCTTTCAGTATAGGCCTACAGCAAAGCAGAAAGAGTTTGGCCTTATAAAATAATCCCCCAAACAGCTGTCAAAACTGACCAAAAACAATATATTTTATTCTGTCACTAATTGATATATATATATATACACAACACAATGGAAAATATTTTTGTGTTTAGAATATTTATTAGTGATGCATGCAATGATTACAGAATAATCAAAAATAAAAATGCAAAGAATGGCAATCGCTGATTTTTGAAATCACTTTCAACAATTGCAAAAAGAGACTGAAAGAGCAGCAGCACAGCTTCATCTGGCAGAGGAACAACTGACTCTGACCAAACTGCAGCAAACCAAGGCCAATGACTTGAGATCCGCCTCCTAAAGGCTGCACTCAGACAAGCTGCTCTCTCCACATCAGATGAGGAAGTCTGAAATTATTGTGGAGTTTTTGACATTAAGTCTTTTTTTATTTACATCTATATTTGAAACTTATTATAAATATCCTCAATGTTCAGTGTTGTAGATCTCAGATGAGTGGACTGCTGAAAGAGGATGGGGTGGGGTTTTTCTTGTTTTTATTATTTATTATTATTTTAATTATTATTAATTTTTTTTAGTTTTCATTTCAAATAAAAATAAAGTTATATTGGCCCCATGCTGACTATTCTACTTGTCGCTCTTTACATATCTATAGTTCTACATTGTGATGTCCTATCCTGTTTGAGCGCTGGTTATCCAGATTTAGTGATCCTGAAAATTTCCTATCCGGATCAGATTGATCCAATCCAATGTTGCTTTGAAAAACTGGCTCAAAATGTAAGCTGGATTACGTGATCACGGATCGCAAAAACAGAATTACTAAATCTGGATCAATTTTATCCGGATTAAACCTTTTGAAAAACCGGGCCCTGATGATCAATAATTCTTGGCTAGAAATTGCAACAGTTGTGGAAAAGAGGAAAATTTTTGTTAAAAGGTTTGGAAAAACCTGAGGGATAAGTTTGTTAAAGCCAAAAGAGGCCATATCAACATAGCACAGGGGACCCATGTACAGTACACCATTGCAGAAATGTTTTCCTACCAGTCATAGGTTTTACACTGATGTACAGTTGAAGTAAGACTTATTCGCCCCCCTTATTCGATAAAAAATATTATCAGACATACTGTGAAAATTTCCTTGCTCTGTTAAACAACATTTGAAAAATATTTTTAAAATAAGAAAAAAATTCAAAGGGGGATAATAATTCTGACTTCAACTGTATATACAGTAAATTATTAGCCCCCCTGAATTATTAGCGCCCCTGTTTATTTTTCCCAATTTCTGTTTAACAGAGAGCAGATTTCTTCAACACATTTCTAATCATAATAGTTTTATTAACTCATCTCTAATTACAGATTTATTTTATCTTTGCCATGATGACAGTAAGTAATATTTTACAGATTACAGATGTCCATGTAAGCGTAGTCAGTAGTGTCTTTGAAGTAAGTGACAGATCCAGAAAAGGGCATCCTGCTGATTTGATTCAGAAGGGCATTTTTTTTTGTCAGACGACTCACCGGTCAGGTGTATATCCGCACTAATATATCAAGATGAAAATAATTATAGCTTGCGTAGAATAAACCCAGCTCCCAACCCAACTTTGAGAATATATTAACGGCAATATTTTTCTTTATTGCGCGATAAGAGTCTCACGTTAACCCAGCATGTTAGAGCCAATAACGACCCACCATTAATATATATATATATATATATATATATATATATATGTGTGTGTGTGTGTGTGTGTGTGTATGTATGTGTATGTATATGAACACACACACAAATATATATAATAAAACGAGCACTTTACTTGAAGAAAAAACACAAATGTGTGACTAAATGCCATTATATATTACATAACAGCATATACTCCCTTAAGTAGAAATTCATAGACTATTCAAAGAGTTTCATTTTAACTATTATTATATGCATTAGCCTTTAAAATAAATTATTCATTTGGTGCAATGTGTAAGACATACTGCTTTGAAACAATACATATTGTTAATACTAATAAACTCGAATCATATAAAATATAATTCAGTCAATGGCTACTTGTTACTTGGATTCTTCAAAATATATTGTTTTGTGTGCAACACAAATGAAAAAGTAAGTCTTCTGTGGATTTTGAGTAAAATGTCCCTTTAATACAATTGTTACATTATTTCCTGCTTAACAGATCTTTGGACTGTATTGCTGCTTTAATTTTTATATAGTAAATAAATAGTACTTGCCTTTCGCTGTTTCAGAAGGAGCCAAATCCCATAAATCAACAGAGGAAGTAGTAGTAGTAGTAGTAGGAAGTACAACCACAGGTAATTAGATGAGGTTGGAGATTCTGATGTTGGAGAATGTGGTGGAATTGTACTTGAGGAAAATGGTGTTTCTGTAAAACGACAAAAAAAAAAAAAAAAAAAAAAGAGGAAAGAATTTAGGGAAATGAAACTTCTCAATCCCAAGTCAAGAGCTGAGTTTTCATCATGCTGTGTTAGGCCCAATCCCAATTCTACCCCTTTGCCCTTCCCATTACCCCAATTCTCTTTAGCTTGAAGGCATAGGGCTTAGGGGAAGGGGTAAATGCCCCTTTAAATAAAGATTTTTCAGGACCACACTCGAAACCAAGGGGTAAGAAAATTTTTCAGAATACACCAACCACCGCGGCAGAATCACTGCACCCAGAAAAGTAAGGAGATCCACAAACTTATATTTTTTGTCATTATTACAAACGTTTACAACAAACAAACACGTTTTGGTATATTCAAACTGCGTGTTGTACAGTCATGCTTAAAAAAAAACCTATAAAATAAAAACCGCTAAATTTACGATCTATTATCCATAATAATAACTCCCACAACATTGACACTCGATGACACTCAATTACCCTTGCAGAAAAGTCTAGTGGCTGGGAAAGAGCTTTTTACATTGTCTGCTATAATGTTAATGTTGTTTCCGTGCGTTTACATAGATGAATATGGCCACTGTGTTAAATACACAGTACAGTTATGATCTTATTGTCACATTAGATCATTATGATAACATAATATATGCCTTCAGTGATTTCCTGAAGATAAATACCAAAAAATTACACAACAGTAATCACTAGAGCAGTAGCCATTGTCTGATCTCATATGAAGCAAGAGATTGCGATGACATGATGACGTGTGCAGGTGCTGTAGTGCTGTCCTAATTCTTAGGCATAAATTTTGAAGCCCATCCCCTTCACTCTCGGTTGTAAAGGCCAAGGGGAAGGGGTAGGGGTTCAAAAATAGAACTGGGATTGGGCCTTAATGTGCATTTGAAGTATTGCATGGCAAACGAGTTTTGGAGATATATATATATATATATTGGTTAACAACAGTTAACCGCAGATGGGAAAACATTTGCTGGATGAACGCTGACTTAGGGCCTAGTCACACAATGCTATCCGAACGTGCCCAGGCCTGTTTCCCAGATCGTTTGAGAAGTGCGAGTGCACTCTAAATTCCTGCAGCACGAGGATTTTATGATTGTTTATGACCGCCAAAAGTGGCAGATCTGTTCAGGGAAATATTTGACTGCGTGTCACCGCATCCCAATTTCGTGGACAAAAGTGCAGAGCAGGGGAATTTGTCGTGGATGAAAGTGAAGAGGGTTGGGAAGTTGGGAAAGAAAGTAAAAGTAAAAAGAGGGTGGTTGAGGAGGGGATTGGTAAAATCAGGATCTGATTTCAAAGTTGCTGGATCCAGAGTGTTCCGACACAAATTAAGCCCTGATGCTTGCGTTGTTTAGTGTTGGTTGCCTGGTGGGGCTGGACAATAATTTGATATCAATATATATTGCGGAAGATTTTTTTTCAATAACGGTGATATGAGTTTTAAACCCATTTCTTGTATTACAATAAAAATATCCGTCCGAAATTCAATCTATGCGACCTCATAATATATTTAGGAGTATGTGTGCGACTGCGTCTAATGGTTGTAGTGCAACCTATTTAGATTTTTTCTAAAGCGTGCTGAATCCTTCTTCCATGCCACTATATTGGTTAATATCAGCTGTCAATCACTCAAGGTTTCTGCTGTCAGATGACAGGGAAGGAGCTTTTGTGACCGCCGGGAAATGCAAAAGGCTGAAGAGTGAAAAGCACACAGGTCTGCAAACCCCACATAAACTTGCATATAAAGGCACAGATGACAGTGATCATGACATGTACAGCATGTTGATCTGCCAGCTGAGATCAATCAAGCATTTTCGGAGAAGGTGCCCAAATCTCGATGCGTTGCATCATTGCCAATAAAGCAAAGGCATCGCCTTGCCTTTACTAAGTTTACATTAAAACTGCAGCTCATAACAAAGAGCGGTATTGTGCCGGCGGTTGTCACAGAAATCCTGCTCATATATTGGTCGGCTGACTCACCTAATTTATTCCACAAACAGAAAAATGAATATCAGCTCATAAGGAAACTGAGCATTTAAAATCACACAAACCCATACTTTTAGAGAGAAGTGAGACTTTACTTTCTTTTGTCCGTTACTTCTTGAGATGTATATTGTTTTTTATTTAGTTACTGATGACTGCTTTGCAGCTTTTAGCATTGAATTGAATGATTTATTATAATATTTCATTTGTTTTGTAGCAGTAATTTTATTAGATTGACATAAATATAAAAACAATAGTGCAAAATAAATATTTCTTACTGCAATGCTTCATTTTTGTTTGATGCAAACCATAATTATATTTTTCATAAAGAAACAGACTTTTTATAGCATATAACTCACATACAAGCACATTCAACGCAGCATCTAATGAGAAATGTAATTCATTGTTAGTATTATTGTCATTTTCATCATCATTAATATTCTATAATTATTAGACATTCATTTTGGAATTATAGCTGAGTCTGAGTTTTATTTATTTGAAAGTTTATTTCAAATTTCTGGTTTATAAAGACTATATACAAATAAAAAGTAGACATTATTTTTTGTACTGTTTTTATTTAAAGTAAAAAAAAAAAAGGAGCCTGAATGTTATTATAGACTTTGCGAATTCAGTTTGCAGACAATTGTGGGTAAAGACATCCATTGTGTGCATTCTTGCCAGTTTTTTCCTGGCTTTTTAATATTGCCCATATCGATATCGGAATTATATCATATCAACCGAAATATATCGCGATATAAATTTTGCCATATCGTCCAGCCCTATTTCCTGGTTTCCAATACTACAGCCACTCTAAACACTTGATAAAAAAAACAAAACAAATTCACATTTGGGATGTTTTCTTTTTTTCCCCCAACTCTGAAAAGTTGAAAAGTCTGAAAAATGAATCTATTTTTGCGATTATAAATTACAGATACTCTAAAAACAGTGATTTGATAAGTGCTTTTCAAATGGCACATTCAGACTTTTTCCTCCCTTTTTTAAAAATACTTGATAAACACTTTTTTTTTTCACATAATCCGTGTGGAAAAAAAGGCAAATTATTGTAATAAACTTACTGACAAGAAGTGTAAAAGACCGTTTATCAGTTTTCTCTCCAATAAGGACAATCACTGTATAATTGCCTTGTCTTGAAGAGTTTATCTCTAGAAGAATTAGGGACAGTCTCTCTCCTTCAACTTTCAGGAAGACTCCATCTGGTTCCATATAATCACAGGAATCATTCTTGAAACAAAGCTCTCCTACCAATTTTGTTTTGTTTATCCCTTCGAAATGTACTTTTACTTGATCGGCCCTCTCCAGGTGAGAAAAATTGAAGGGAATGGTGATATTCTGCCCATCGGTTGCCACCACCTTTTCATGAAAACATACAGTGGCTGTTGAAGAAAGACAAATTAATTAATCATTTAGCTTTTTATTATCTGTAGGATGTTGAGTTACACATATTCTTATTCGACATGTAAAATGAATTTCAGCTCAAATCACTTTCAAAAGGAATTATCCTTTTAGGAATTATTATTAAGATGCTGAAATACACTTACAGATTTACAGTCAAGTGAAAAAGAAGACCCCTTTAAATGTAATGGTTTTACAAATTAGGACTTATGGTCATTGGCAGGTCTTAGTAAATAGAAAATAAAACCTCAGATGAAGAGCGTGTCGTTACTTACTGAACAATATTAAGGTAAACATAGAAAAGACACGGGGAACAAACTTCTGATTTAGATCCTGTAGATAGATTTGTATCAGAAAATAATAAAAAAAAAACTTTCAACCTACATTAACACACTACTGGAAAAGCTTTTCGGAAGTGGTATAGTAACGATTTAATAACAGTTAGTAATAATAAAATAATAATTATTAATAACTTTAAATACATGTTCAGAGTAACCAAAGGTTTTACCAAGTAAATTGCAAAATGATTAAAAATAACAATGTGTGTAACACTTTTACAATAAAGTCTCATTAGTAAAATGTTAATTGATGGATTAAAATCAAGTAAGATTTGTAACTGTTACCAGAATAATAATAATAAAGTAAAATATAACTGGATTTGATTAGTTTATTAACTACATTTAATAAAACAATTATACATTTTAATCAATAACAACTAGGATTTTAAAGAAGTATTACCTACGATTAACAAAAGTTTTTGTAGCTTCAATTAACTGCTGTTTACAAACTTAGCTTTAATGTCCTGTATTAACAAAGAATAATTGCCCTAAAAATAATCAAAGAATTTTCAAACAACAATATTTTAGCAGAATAGTGTGAAAATGTTTATGCTTAAACTTTTAACATAACCAACGAAATCTCCAAGCATTTGCCTCCTACCACTGCAAAATACAATGTGACTATTACTCAAAAGCGCAAAAATATTAAACATGAATAAATTCAATGTATTTTAAAAAGTGCCCACGATATCAATAAGCATGTTCATTTTCACAATATATTGAATTAATAAATCTTTGAATAGGTCTAGAAACAACCATTTTTTCAGGTTTTACACCTTTCAGATGCATTTATATTTTTGATTTATTAAGCAGAACTAAGAATGAACCAAATATTTCATTTATTGTGCTGTCATGATTATATTAATGATAAAAAAATACTGAATTAAATATTCTATATAATTCAGCTCTAAATGTCTGTAGAATACACTCCAGATAATTCCCTGAATGGATCAATTTATGAAGCATAAAGTTTAAGATGAAGAAATGACAAAACAGAAGACATGTCTACAACAAGCAAACAAATGCTAAACTAATATGGAATGAAACGAGAACGGCACAAATAAAACAGCAGCAACAACAATAATAATGGTAACGCATTTTACTACATCTAATAAATTAATTTCGGAAGATATAAAAACAAATATTGATCAATTTAGAAATATGAGAGACAATGTCTGTTCGATTTTGCTAATGCAACCAACTAGTTGTACATCAAACCAAAAAATACATACCCGTAGTAGCAAGAAACAGAAAAAAAATTAAGTTTAACATCTTCCAAAAACATAAAAAAATCAAAATAGATGTTCAACACTAGCTATCTAACGTTAGTCTGTATAATAACCCAAAAATGGCGCAGAGCAGTTTAGTCCCAACTTCTGCAGCGAGAAAGCGGCGAAAGCGTCAAAGTAGCCGGAAGTCATTCATTTTCAATGAGAGCCGGCGGCGATAGGCGGCGATAAGAGGCGAGGAGCAGCGCGGCGTGTCTTCGCCGGCGTGAGCGTCGAGGAGAGTTGAAATTAAGTCAACTTTATGGTAATGAGCTTTGACGCGGTTCGGCGGCAAGCAATCAGAATGAAGACGTCCACCGCTTGATAGCAGTTTAGGGAACACAGAGCTGTGAACTTTGGTTCCGACCACAGTTGTTCCCAAGGGTTTGATTATTGCGGTCGCCGGATTTCCCATTATTTACAATGTTTTCTTACAGGAACATGCATCAAATAAGTTACTGGCGAGTTACTGATGTTCATTAATGTTATATAAATTTATCTTTAAAAAGCGGGAATCTCACACGATGTGACAGTACAAAACAGTACGTTACTGCTGCTTCAGGATATTTCAGACATATGGACACATATTGGATAAATAGAGCTAAGCCACGCCACACGCAACTTGATCTTCCATTGTTGTATGAATTTGATAAGAAGTGCGCAACATTTTCACGCTAGAAACATGTTTTATGCAGGAATGTAACTGATATGCTGCAACGGCTCCTTTAAGTACGAGATCAATGTAGCGAGTTTTGACGCTCTCGCCGCCGGAGCTGAAGGCAGACAGCGTTGTCGCCAGGGCGGCCAGAGCGACCTTGGACGCTCTCGCCGCTTTCGGTGTGAACGTACGGTAACGCCACTGAAGCGGTGCCGACGGATCCACAATGCAGTTCGGCAACGCCTGACGTCACCCATTCAAAGTGAACCCCGTGTGAATAGGGCGTAAAAGAAGCGTTGACGCTGACAGTGAAGCCGCATGTGAGTGGAGGCCGAGTCAGGCACGGTTTTTTTTAAACCATCTCCACGCCCAGACAAAATTGTCCCTCCCGTTGTTACTAGAAGAGATGCGCATACTGTTTGTTCGAATCTGCATTCCGAAGCGCGTTTCAAAGTGCTATGATACGTGATCTCAGTAAACGAGGTATCTTTTCGTGTCTACACCATAGAGGTCTAACGTTACACTCCGAGTGGCGTTTCGAACGCTAAAAACATTGAATCGTTTTGATTCGAAGCTGGCTGTAGATATTGGTTTCGGAAACCCTTTCAGTGGTTCATTCGAGCGCAGTTAAAAAGAACAATTTGCCCAAGATTATATTACTTACGACATATAGTGTTTTGAACCATTTCTACTTTTAAGAATTAGTATTTCGTTCAATATAGGTACAAAGTCAGATTATTAGGTACATTTCGTCATGTAAATGTCTGATCTATGTTAAAATAGCAGATTCATGCTCTCGGATGTGAAAAAAAATTGTTAAACTTACATGACAAAGAGGTTTGTAGCAGGAAAACCAACAGAAAACTAAAGTATGACGGTTGACCATGGTGGCGTTCTTCTCAAATACACTAAAATGGCGTTAGGTTAGGTACGCCCTTCCTTCTACCCTGTTGATTGACTAAGGTGACGTCAAGCACTGTGGGCGTTGATGGTTGACTCTTGTTAAGAATTTAACCAAATACTGCAGTAACCCTACCGCACTCTCTTCTCTCCATCAAAAGCAGTTTTTGAAAAGTTGTTTTATTTACAGGGAAGGTCGCTTATTTCTCTAAAGAAAACCTACAACAACTGGGCAGCAAACCCCCGCCAACCCCCCTCTCTTTCTCTCCCTTCATCTCTCACATTTTCACATTTTAAGTGCTTGGCATGACAAATAACTAAATTTGTATTGCCCATGCAGTGCAACGTCACTGCGTACAAACAAGACAGTACAAAAAGGGCAGTAGTGCAAACTAATATGAATATAAAGTATGATACAGAGAAAACAGATAGAAATAAAATAAAAAGATTAATAAAAAATAGATTAATTGTAATATATAAAACGGGATAAAGGTAATGAAAGTAATGTCAACAGTGGACCACAAGTAAAACGTCCCTAGTTGTGTGTTGGAGACAGTGGAGCGGGTTGGTTTCTCGGTGGCAGGAGTGCAGTTGGGCAGTTTCTCACTGTCCGGCACGGATTCAGGGCCGTGCAAAGAGGGGGTGGCCCGGGGACTAGAGCCACTGCCCCTCTGTCCTCATTGGCTGAAAAACTGCCCTTCTCAGTCTGTACGTCTGTACCCCTCACTTCCCCTCCAACGCGTCCGTTCCCCCGTCCCTGGCTGTTTAGTTACCGCTTCGCTAAAAATTCACTGATTCCGTTAATCCGCTCCATGTTTTATCGCCCGCTCCGTAGTCCACAGAGTCACTCACACATCTACTTCGAACACGCCATCTGCGGTTCCGAGAGAGACGGTCACGCTGTGCTTTAAATTATAGTGCGCATCTACTCTGTGTTTTGCGGTAGATTAAAGACGCGTGTGTTTAATACGCTGCAGTTTGATCTCGTTTGCCCTGCCCGCTCACTGGAAAGTGGAGACATCCGTTCGTAACGATCGTTGCATTAGGTAGTTTGGTAATTGTACAATCCACATTGCAGTCAGTGGTCTTCTAAAAGTGTTGACAACTTGTGCTATATATTCACGTTCTTGGAATTTGAATGTCTATTAAAATCAGATATAATATAAATAACAATTTCTGTTGTTGGAACACATCCTCAAAAAACAATGCCTTTACAAAAAAAGAAGACAGAGAGAAAGATTGAAGGGAGGCTGCCAAAGGTAGTTCAACACTGAAAACATGGATTCAAAGCTCCAGCAAGCCAGCAGGTAAATCATCATATAGAGCTGTGTTTGACACACTTTTAAGTCCTCTAATTAAGCAGGCCTATATTTTCCATGTGTAGTATCTTCAATAAAGATCAGTCTACTACATGTATTGAGTTGAAATAAACCTTTACCTTATGTTTACCTCAGTCACAGCAACAGACACGCCTTTCTGCATAGGATATCGTCTTCAACTGACTTGCAAGCAAAAACACAACATTTACAATACAACAGCGACCCCTTGTGGTTACTACAGGATACTACACCATTATAATCACTTAGGCCTAGGTGATCCTAGTAATCTTGGCTACTGCACATCATTTTTGTTAAAACCATGTCAATAGTAGGCAGTTAAAAACTTTTAATATTAATATTCTAAAAGTTAATATAAATTTATGGTGTCATTCATTCATTTTCTTGTCGGCTTAGTCCCTTTATTAATCCGGGGTCGCCACAGCGGAATGAACCGCCAACTTATCCAGCACCTTTTTACGCAGCGGATGCCCTTCCAGCCGCAACCCATCACTGGGAAACATTCACACACACACTATGGACAATTCAGTCTTTAGACTGTGCTGTGGGGAAAACCAGAGGAAACCCACGCGAACGCAGGGAGAACATGCAAACTCCCCACAGAAACGCCAACTTAGCCGCGATTCGAACCAGCAACCAAGCGACCTTCTTGCTGTGAGACGACAGCACTACCTACTGCGTTGCCCTAAATTTATGGTGTATGGTATTAAATTCAGACGCAGTAGGTGCTGTCGCCTCCCAGCAAGAAGGTCGCTGGTTCGAGCCTCCGCTGGGTCAGTTGGCGTGTCTGTGTGGAGTTTGTATGCTCTCCCTGCGTTCGCGTGGGTTTCCTCCGGGGGTTCCCCCTTATAAAGATTCTCAATAATTTTTAATCCTCTCTGGGGTATCTGTGGTGGGTTAGGTGTGCAGCTCAGCTTACATGGTACCCATAATTTTATCTAGAAAGATGTTATTTTTTCTATAATGAAAATTCCTTGCTTTTCTTAATCTTTGAATAGTCAGCCTACATTATTATTTTTCCTATTTTAAATGCAAAATCTTTAATATGCATTATTTCTGCATTTTTAGGATACTTTAATCTTTTTTTGCTTTATCTCTTTTGACTATAAATGATGCCATATCTTGATTTATGCAAACCCAAAACATTTTCTGCATTTTATTAATATAAAAGATATATAATGTTTTATCCCTTTGTTCTTCTATGGGATAAAATAATAATAAAATAATAATAATAATAATAACAATAACAACACTAATAATAATAATAATAATAATAATAATAATAACAACAACAACAATAATAATAATGATAATAATAATAATAATTGTTGTTTGGTTTAATCACAATAAAAACACATCTAATTATATGATCAAATTATTTCCCGAAACAGGGCTACGGAGTAGGAGTCTGCATTGCGTCCAGGCAGACCTACGCTCCAGTCAGTTTTACGATGCTTCCAGTAGGTGGAGGCAGATATTTGGCCAAATAATACTTTTGAAGTCAGCTCTTTCACATTATTGAATGTTCATAGATATGGTTCTGTTATTTTTTGGTCAAATATAAAAGCTAAGTTAATGTATCAGAAAGTGAGCTTAAATATACACAGATGATACACTCACCTTACTATTTCAAATATACAAAAGCTCAATTGCAAATAATTTAAATTCATTTAATTAGAAAAATTAAAAACAATGGTTGGATAGTTTAATGATTAATTGTAGCCTAGTGATTTGTTTTCATACAGAGCTATGCATTTTGTTGTATTGTTTATATATAGAGTTGCATTCTAAAAAAATTCTATTGGCAACAATATCACTAGTGATTTCCAGTCTTCTTTATTAATGCTGAGTCCTTGCATCAATTTCTCATGCTCACTGCAAAATAAATAAATTAAGTTATTTATAAATTCTCTGCAAAAAAATGGTTTTCAATTCTGCGTTTTGTTTTGTTGTCTAAAGAGTCAGAGGAAATTATTAATATGATTATTAATAAAATTGAATGTTTAAGGGCCTAGATTATAGGATGACCTCAGTGTCATCCCTCTTCAGAGTAAAACTGGAAAAATTATTTGTTTCCTAAGGATCTAAGAATTGAAAACAACTGTTTCCTGAGTTATTTGCCATTTTTACTAGTCAATACTTTTTAAGTAAATTCCTTATATGCAAGATATATTTTCTGTGTTTTAGCAAGCTGCCAGTTTGGATGTTGATTGTACCAACTTTGAACCAGTTTGATAAGATGGCCTACGAACTCTGTGCAAGTTATCTGCAAATTATCTTCAGTAGAATTTCTTGAACTGAATTTCTGACTCTGGCTCTTCTTCATCTGACAGACTGGTCATTTTTTTGGTTAAAACTGTCAGTTGCGACTTATTTCTTTATATATTATTTCTTACATCATATTATTTCAAACTACTCAAACGTCAATAAAAGTCAAAAGGTCCCGTAATGCAATTTACAACAGTAAATAAACCAAAAACACTCATGAATCATGAGTATACAATACAGAAATTGTTCATTTTCACAAAATAGCTATTGACTTCCTAGTATTTTTTCCCTATATAACAACAGTTACCAGTTCATAACCTTCAAAATATCTTACTTCGTGCTTTAAATAAACTCATTTAGATTTGGGACCTGTATACCATTATGATCACCAGCGATTGAGCAATTGCAGATTGCTAGAGAACTACAATTTCCAAAATTCCTTGCGCTCATCAACTCCTGCCACAGCTGCTCACTGACGCTCACAGCTGTAGCTCATCTTCTCTGATTCATGGACTATTTATACACCTCACTTTTACACACACATTGCTGAGTCCTGTTTTTCCTCCGCACATTACAAAGGAGTTTCCCTAGTCCCATGTTTTGACACATTGCTTAGTTTATTGTTTCCATTGTCAGGCGGTGCCTGTCCTGACCCTTATTTGCCTGTTTATGCTTTGGATTATGCACCTGTTTGTCCGTGTGTTTGACAATTGCCTGCACAATTAGTCTCTGTTTAATAAACTGTACATGGATCTCCAACTCTGTTGTCAGCTTCCTAGTGTTACATGACTTCTTGAGTGTTAGTTTTCATGTTTTGATAAAATATTATTTAAGCATACTAATAATAACAAAACTTGAAGCAAGTCTAGCATAATCAGGAACTATGATTAGCCTGCAGATGAGACTCATGGAATAAGGGGAACAAAGGCAATAGTCAAAACACAGGATACAATCAAGTGAAACCAACTTAAAGCTTATAAAAAAGTATGGCTGCTGTGACTGATTTTATGGTCACTTCCTGATAAGACACAAGGTGTTCAGACAGACAGAGTGAACCCAACACGCAGCATCAACACAACACACACTCAAGGATGTTGGTTTTTATTCTGTTTTTTCTTTGTCTTAAAGGTAAGATTTCCAAAACCTATTGTTGTTTTTTTAATTGTTTTTCAATACAAAAAGCATCACTGTAATAACTGTGGTTAAAAAAAGGCTACTTTCTAAAAGTCAAAATCCTCTCTTGCTTAAACATTAATGCAAAAACCTAAATATTGAAATATTCAGAAGCTTTGATGCACAAGTTGTAAAACAAATACTTATTTTGGCAGGCTATTGTGTTTCTAATTATTTAAAGGCTTTATAGGAAAATATGTGTCACTTGAACTTGTAAGTTTGATGGTAGTTTCCTTTGTGGTTTAGACACATTTGCAACACCTTTAGATCTCAAACCTGCAGGTCTAACAAATAAGCAAGAGAAGTCCATGTTCTGTGGTGAACTTAATAAAAACACAGACATTTGTGTTAAATCTATAATCTATTCTGTCTTGTACACTTGGATACTGCATTTGGATTGTTTGCACGTATAGAGTTGCTTGAGTTGCTTAAGTTGTATATATTTCATAAGCCATGTTGCTGAGTTTATAATGGGTTTGTATGTCACTTTAGATAAAAGAGTCATACAGTATATTAAAATTATGATTAGACTAACTGTAACAGTACGTCTGTGTTTCTGTGTTTTCAAATCATTGTTAAATAGTTTTACCCTGTCACTTGCCCTTATTGCATTATCACTTTCCTGTTTTTTTATTGTTTCCTCTTTCTTGTTGCCTTATTATCTTGTTTAGTTATGTTTAGTTCTCATTTTTAGTAGTTTTATGTGTCATTCTGTGATGTCCGCGTGCTTCTTTTCTCTGTTTTTGTTTTGTGTTGGGACTATAATAATCAATTCAGTTTTAGCTGCATTTGGATTCTCCATTATATTTCGAAATTGAAATTGCTAGTGCACATTTCGCTGGTGCATTTGTGACCAAGAGATCATCCAGAGCCAGGGTATCCAGAGTAATGTCATCAAACCACCAACAAGTAAAAGAACCACATGCAATAGTAACTGTGAACTCAAGAGGAAGCTGTCTAAAGGGGATGTCCTGGGCCCGGTTTTTCAAAAGTAATCCACTAGGATTTTGGATAAGGGATTGGATCAAATCTTGAAAATGGGTTTTTCAAAAGAAAAAACGGATTACGTAATCGGATTAGATCATTTAATCCAATCTTGGTTTTGATCCGGATCAAACCTTTAGTTTGGGTTTTTCAGACCTTTTTTGTAGGATCTGGATCACTTTGATCCAAAAAACCTGGATTAAACTGATCCTATTAGAAGGGTGGATTTAGCGTGGATTTCATGCCCAAAATGTAATGAAAACTTTATTAAATTTATTTTTAAAAATTTTAAAAATTAAAAATTTATTAAATAATACTATTTTTGGATCATGCAGTATCTTACGAGATATACTATTTATTCATAAGGTTTTCATTTTATTTGTTCATCTGTCAGGCTATAGTGAGTATTGCCTTTAATGTATTCAGCCTTTCAGTATAGGCCTACAGCAAAGCAGAAAGAGTTTGGCTTTATAAAACAATCCCCCAAACAGCTGTGAAAACTGACCAAAAACAATACATTTTATTCTGTCACTAATTGATATATATATTCAACACAATGGAAAATATTTTTCTTTTTAGAATATTTATTAGTGATGCATGCAATGATTACAGAATAACCAAAATAGAAATGCAAAGAATGGCAATCGCTGATTTTTGAAATCTCTTTCAACAATTGCAAAAAGAGACTGAAAGAGCAGAAGCACAGCATCATCAGAGAAACAACTGACTCTGACCAAACTGCAGCAAACCAAGGCCAATGACTTCAGATCTGCCTCCTAAAGGCTGCGCTCAGACAAGCTGCTCTCTTCACATCAGATGAGGAAGTCTGAAATTATTGTGGAGTTTTTGACATTAAGTCTTTTTTTATTTACATCTATATTTGAAACTTATTATAAATATCCTCAATGTTCAGTGTTGTAGGTCTCAGATGAGTGGACTGCTGAAAGAGGATGGAGTGGGGTTTTTCTTGTTTTTATTATTTATTATTATTATTATTATTTTAATAATTATGAATTTTTTTTAGTTTTCATTTCAAATAAAAATAAAGTTATATTGACCCCACGCTGACTATTCTACTTGTCGCTCTTTACATATCTACAGTTCTACATTGTGATGTCCTATGCTGTTTGAGTACTGGTAATCCAGATTTAGTGATCCTGAAAAGTTCCTATCCGGATCAGATTGATCCAATCCGATGTTGCTTTGAAAAACTGGCTCAAAAAGTAAGCTGGATTACGTGATCACGGATCGCAAAAACAGAATTACTAAATCTGGATCAATTTTATCCAGATTAAACCTTTTGAAAAACCGGGCCCAGGTGCTAACCTGGACTGTATCCGACAAACATAAAACCACAGCTGCCCAACTCACTGCAGAACTAAATATGCACCTCAACTCTCCTGTTTCCACCAAAAGTGTTTGTCGTCAGGAGCCCTACAAGATCAATGTACATGGCTGCTATACCTTTGGTCACTCATGCCAGTGCCAAACACAGATCTCAGTCGTTGCAGCAGTGAAAATCTTGGGCTGTGGACAATGTGAAACATGTATAGTTCTCTGATGAGTCCACTCTCACTGTCTTTCCCACATGTGGGAGAGTTACGGTTTGAAGAAGCCTCAAAGAAGTTATCCATCCAGACTGTTGATGCCCGGAGTGAAGCATCGGGGTTGATCAGTGATGGCTTGGGCTGTAATATCATGGCATTCCCTAGAGCCAATAATTGTGCTAGATGGGCACTAGGTCACTTCCAAGGACTACTGAAGCATACTGGAGAACCATGTGCACTCAAAGGGTCAAACATTATATCACGGAGGTGCCATGTATGGTAATGCACCAATACATGCAGTAATACTATTGATAGAGTGGTTTGATGAACATGAAAGTAAAGTTGAACATCTCCCATGACCTGCACAGTCACCAGATCTAAACATTATATAGCCACTTTGCAATGTTTTGGAGGAGCGAGTCAGGAAACGCTTTTTTATTTATTTATTTATTTATTTATTTATTTATTTATTTTTTTATTTATTTTTTTATTTATTTATTTATTTATTTATTTATGTATTAATTAATTTATTTATTATTATGATTATTATTATTATTATTCATTCATTCATTTTCTTTTCAAGTTAGTCCCTTTAATAATCCGGGGTTGCCACACTGGAATGAACCGCCAACTTATCCAGCACATGTTTTTTACATTTCTGGGAAACATCCAAACACACTCATTCACACACATACACTACGAACAGTTTAGCCTACCCAATTCACCCATACTGCATGTGTTTGGACTGTGGGGGAAACCGGAGCACCCGGAGGAAACCCACGCGAACAGAGGGAGAACATGCAAACTCCACACAGAAAGACTAACTGACCCAGCCGAGGCTTGAACCAGTGACTTTCTTGCTATGAGGCGACAGCACCACCTACTGCACCACTGCGTCGCCCTATTATCTCCAGAGTGAAGCATCGGGGTTGATCAGTGATGGCTTGGGCTGTAATATCATGGCATTCCCTAGAGCCAATAATTGTGCTAGATGGGCACTAGGTCACTTCCAAGGACTACTGAAGCATACTGGAGAACCATGTGCACTCAAAGGGTCAAACATTATATCACGAAGGTGCCATGTATGGTAATGCACCAATACATGCAGTAATACTATTGATAGAGTGGTTTGATGAACATGAAAGTGAAGTTGAACATCTCCCACGGCCTGCACAGTCACCAGATCTAAACATTATATAGCCACTTTGCAATGTTTTGGAGGAGCGAGTCAGGAAACGCTTTCCTCCACCAGCATCACATAGTGACCTGAACACTATTCTGCAAAAAGAATGGCTCAAAATCCCCCTGACCACACGCAGGACTTGTATCTGTCATTCCCAAGAAAATTGATGCCCTATTGGCTGCGAAAGAAGGCCCTAGACCAGGGGTCACCAATCTCGTTCCTGGAGGTCCAGTGCCCTGAAGGGTTTGCCTCAACACACCTGCCTGGGTATTTCAGGTATACCTTGTAAGACCTTGATTAGCTTGTTCAGGTGTGTTTGATTATGGTATGAGCTAAAATCTGCAGAAAACCGGACCTCCAGGAACAAGTTTGGTGACCCCTGATCTAGACCAGGGAATTACTGTGACTAAAACCAGGCGTTTCAGTTTCATTGTCCAACCCCTGTATATGTCATTAGAATTAATAAACTACTCAGGCTTTAAAGGTTTTGTGTCAAACTTATGTTTTGTGGTAAGTAGATGTGTAAAAATGAGATAGATCACGTCCTGAATAGTTGTTTTCACAGAATTAATCCCTTTAGTCTTATACAACAGTGCTCCGCTTTGTGTCGGGCTGCTGATAAACTTGTCAAGCTTTATTCTGTGATAACAACCTCCCTGGTTACTTTATTCCTATAACTAATTTAAGTAAATGAAGATGAAATGCACATCAAATGATGTAATAAATATTATTACATATTTTAAACATTAAAATATGAATAAATATTTTCTTTGTTAAGTAATCAGTTCAAAATCACAAGATTTAATTACAAATTGTATAATGCATTTTCATATCGGTTTCAGATGTGGTGAATGCCCAATGGAATGAGGTAAAGAGAGTGATGGAGGGGGACGTTCTGACTCTTCATGCAGGATTTGCTCAAATGGAGGGATATTCAGAAGTAATCTGGTATTTTACAAGTGCTGGTCGTACCACCCGTATAGCACAGATGAATCGTGGAAGAGTTGTTAAAGTTTATAAAGAGAGTCTTGCTCACAGATTAAAACTAGACCAAACGAGCGGATCTCTGACCATCTGCAACATCAGCATCAGTGATTCTGGAGTTTATGAAGTATCGCAAACCATTAAGTTACACGTCTATGAAAAGAAATTTAGAGTTGATGTACATGGTGAGTTATATATATACTGCCAATAGAAACCATTAACAACTCATTAAAGGGAAAGTTCACCCAAAAATTTTATAATTCTGTTAATATTTACAAATTCTTTATTTGTTTCAAACCTTTATGGGTTTCTTTCTTCTGTTGAACACAGAATATACTTTGAAGAATATTGAAAACCTGTAACCATTTACTTTCGTTATATTTGCTTTTCCTCCAAAGGAAGTCAAAGGTTACAGTTTTTCAGCTTTTATTCAAAACATCTTCTTTTGTGTTCAGCAGAGGAAAAAAACTTAAGGTGAATAAAGAGTACATTTTCATTTTAGGGTGAACTACCCCTTAAGTAATGTTCAATCAATATTAGGTTGCCAATAGTACCCATTTCAAACCAAGTGCTTACAGTGATACATAGACACTCGAGCCGGGTTGCCAAATCTGCTGTTTATCCAAAGAATTTCAATAGTATCTGGATGCAGCCGTTATGATGCAACCTGAGATTGCATCACTTATCAATGCAATGTCAGACACAATGCACTCAAATGGAGCAAGTGACATTACTGTGAGGGGGTGGGGTTAGGTGAGCCCAATGAAAAGCATTGGATGCAGCTCAGATTGCACTGCACTGGGTCTGCATCCATACCCCTGTCAAGAATTGAGCTACTTTCACCACATGACATTGTTATTGTTGTTGTTTGTTTAGATCATGGTTGTTTCAGTTTCTATGGAAAGAGATTACCAGGACTGTCCAGACCTGTTTGCTAAGTAATAAATGCAAAAGTACAGACCTTTTGTAGACGTAACTGACAACAGGCTGATAAATTAAATAATGCATACTTAAGCTGGTTATGTGGTCATGGTTTAAAGTGAAGTTACTGAAACACCTTGTGCATTATTTATTTATTTATTTATTTATTTATTTATTTATTTATTTATTTATTTATTTATTATTATGATTATTATTATTATTATTCATTCATTCATTTTCTTTTCAAGTTAGTCCCTTAAATAATCCGGGGTTGCCACACTGGAATGAACCGCCAACTTATCCAGCACATGTTTTTTACATTTCTGGGAAACATCCAAACACACTCATTCACACACATACACTACGAACAGTTTAGCCTACCCAATTCACCCATACTGCATGTGTTTGGACTGTGGGGGAAACCGGAGCACCCGGAGGAAACCCACGCGAATACAGGAAGAACATGCAAACTCCACACAGAAACACTAACTGACCCAGCCGAGGCTTGAACCAGTGACTTTCTTGCTATGAGGCGACAGCACCACCTACTGCGCCACTGCGTCGCCCTATTATTATTATCATTATTACTATTATTATTATTATTATTTTCCTTATTTGGTCTCCACAGCTGCTTCACTGTTCAGGTGTTGTATTTGAGAGATAGATTGTCAAATTTTAGTCCTTAAAATGCTCCTGTGTGTAGCACTAGTTTCTCCTCTGAAGCCTTCTGTTGTGTTGTGATGTGATTTTTGACTGCTGTGAAATACCTCACACCATTCAGCATAGTGATATGGAGCTCTATTGTGCTCAAGACTTGCTAGAACTACTTTAACTGTGTCTGGCAGACTTTAAACTCTTTATCAGCCAATCAGAATCAAGCATTAAACAACCCTATAAAATATACAGTATTAATAAGTTACATTAATGTATTCAAATATTATGATATTATAACTGTCAGTGTTGTAGATAAAAGATGTCATACACTGCAAGAATAGCAGTTTTATTTAAACTCTACCAGAGTTAAAATCAACTCAAAATGAGTAAACTTGTTGTCTCAATATTTTAAGAGTTACAATAACATTTTTAGGAGAGTTACTTGTACACCATTATAAATGGGTTATATTCACACTGTATAGAGTTAAAAATAACTCTGGTCTACACTACAGGGAGTTGATTGCTTTCTTACTCTAGTGTAAAGAGTAAAAATTTGACACTTTAACAAAAATATTTTAACTTTAGTCAACCTAGTAAACATTACAATACTCCTAAGTGACAAATAACTTACATAGGACAATTCTCCAAAAATGACAGAAAAAAAATTTTTAATTGTTTTAACAAAACACGTCAACACTTGCCAGCCAGCACTACAAAATGACACTTTTTAGGATCTAAAGGATTAAAAAATGGCATGACTTGTATGTTTTGGTCAAGTGAATGTTGGAAATAACACCATGAAGTGTTGGTTACCTGTAACTCCTTGATTTTACATTGAATCAAATCAGATTTGAATTCTGTGTTTATTTACTCTAAAATGCTTTAACACTGAGAACTTTACTCTGATCGATTTGCTGTCTACAAGATTGATCAGATGCAATCATAAAAATGCATACAGTATAAAAGATTTTTTTTTTCTTGCCCTAAAGCTCCTGTTTCTGTGCCTGCTATTGAAAGAAACTCAAAAGTTACTGAGCACAATTCCTCAGGTGAGTCTTTTTTTGCCATCTCCCTCTGAATAAAGCCATCAAAGGGATAGTTCACCCAAAAATGTAAACTGACTAACTATATACTCTTCCTCAAGTGGTTTTAAATCTTTATGAGTTTCTTTCATCTGATGAATTAAAAAAGACCGAAAACCTGCAGCCATTGACTTCCATTGGAAAAAAACAAATATTATATTGCAGTGTACAAATACTTGTATTTTGATTTGTTTATGATTTTAAATTGCATTATGGGACATTGATCTTTCTTTCAACATCATTTTAACCTTTGAAAAAGTGACTTTTATGAATATTTATAACAGTTTAAAATGATTTTTTGTCTGGGTGTTGTATATTACTGTAACGGAGGGGAACGCTGGTCAACAAAGTTGACGATCCTCGTGCAGTTTATTGAAAGCTTAGTCAAGCAAGCAATGGTCAAACAGGAGCAAACTGAAGCATCTAGGTAATCCAAAAAAATAGTCAATGTCACAGGTGAAGAGATTGGTACAAGTGGCAGGCAACATAAAAAGAACAAACAAGGCAAGGCTAGACAATAGAAAGCTTTGTAATGCTACAGGATAACAAAGAGTTTGTGATCAAAAAGTCTTTATAGTCCTAGTAATCAGTCTATGATGAGGTTCTAGCTGTGTGTGTGCAATCAAAGGAGAGAACTGGTGTGTGTGTGTGTGATTGTACGTGTTTTTGTGACATATCAGGACACAAATCTGTATAATGAAATGGGTATGACACAGGTATTACAAAAAGGAGGTGAAATATGAGAAAATTGGTGACGTCCTCATTTCCCAAAATGTGTATAAATCCTACAGAATGAGTTTAATCAGAGAGTAAAGCTAGACACAGTCTCCTGTGATGGTTGGGTTTTGAGGTGGGGTGGGGTGAGGGCAATATAATATACGGTTTGGACACTATAAAATGAATGGAAACCTATGTAATGTCCCCACTTTTCACAAAAACAAACGTGTGTGTGTGTGTGTGTGTGTGTGTGTGAAGTGCATCATGAGATTTGTTGTTCATAACAGTGGCAGATTTGTAGTCCAAGTCTTCAAGCGATCTGCAAGGCCTAGATTGTTGGTAATTGTGACAATTACGCTACAGAAACCTTATTATAAGCTGGCAGTACATTTTCTGTTATTTTACAGACATATTTTGATTATTTCTTATACATGAAATTATTTTAAACTACTAAAATGTCAATAAAAGTCACTTTGTTTAACTGTTGAGTTGAATTTCCAACATCAAACGTCGACAGGTCAGAGATCAACATCCCATAATGCAATTTACAACTGCAAATAATAATGAATCACAAAATACATTAACAAACCTTTTTTACAGTGTGAAGTCAATGGTTACAGGTTGCAACCTTCTTTAAAATATCTTCTACAGCATAAACTCATAAAGGTTTGGAACAGGTAAAACTAAATGACAGAACATTCATTTTTGGGTGAACTGTACCTTTAATAGTGACTTTAACACTGAAATCTATTAAATAAATGTCTACAGGTACTTTAAAGCCAGAGTTGTGCTTAGTGTTGTGCTCTGTGAAAAATGGCCGAGATGTGTTGATCTCCTGGCATAAAGGAGGAGAAATGGTGAAGCAGAGCAGCAGTCCTGAGCTCAACATCAGCCTCAGTTTATCATTAGAGCTTCATTATGAAGATGCAGAGAGCTACAGCTGCACGGCTCACAATCCAGTCAGCAACAAGAGCATCCAACTTCAGCTCAGAGACTTCTGCAGAACAACACAGGAAGGTGAATCAATAACACTCAACACTTTTCCTATCACATATGATCTTAGGCCAGCTTCTGTGTCTACAAAGATGTTTATGGTGAATTCACACTTGGCAACCCTCACGTATGATAGACGTATGAGTTCATATTTTGATTTTACATGTATAAAACATTCAGTTTGATATATATAATGCAACATATAATTTCACAATATTGCAGAAATGTCTGCTTAAATGTCTGCTAAAATTATTTGGCCTCTGGAATTTAGGAATTCAGGATTTTTTCACATTATTTCTTCTAATATTTTTTCTTCTGGAGAAAGTCTTATTTGTTTTATCTCGACTAGAATAAAACCAGTTTGTAATTGTTTTATAGCCATTTTAAGGTCAATATTATTAGCCCCCTTAACCAGTATTAGTTTGTGACTTGCCTAATTACCCTAACTTTACCCTAATTACCCTAGTTAGCCTTTAAGTGTTGCTTTCAGCTGAATACTATCTTGAAGAATATCTAATAACTAAAATAACTTTTATTTTATTTTTATTTCAGATTGTCAGGATCATTGTGGCGCCATTGAAGCTCTAATTCGACTGGTTTTGTCTGGTCTGGTGGGAATCGCCACTGTTTTATTTCTGTTCGATCATTTAAGGCTCTGCTCGGCTCAGGATGGAGATGCTGCTGTTTCTGTGTGTTGACGACATCTTCATCCGTTTGCAAGGTGTGAACTTTGACTATGAAACTGCACCTGCTGGTTTCAGTCTTTCATATTTATAACTCTTGTTAAAGGTTTCTGCTCAGGAAATGTGTGAATGAGGATGTCAGTTGCAAGTTGGCTGTCTATAAAATGCTCACAAACCTTCATGTGCATGTGTATTATGTAAAAATGTTTAGTAAGTGCTGTCCAAAGTAATCCATTGATAAAATGTTTTTGTATAAAACACACAGTTGAAGACTGAATCATCCCCCCAAGTATTTATACTGTGGATAAAGGTATCAGCCATTCTGCTAAATGTGACCATGTCAGATGCAAGAATATAAACAGCACCTTCATATGCTCGTGTGTCATGCAAAAAAATGTTTGTGAATGTATTAATAAGCACTGTCTAAACTGATCAAAAATAGTTTGCATTATAATATGTGTCTTGTTTGTACTCTGTACATGTAATTTGTATTAGATGTTAGATTAGATATTATTATTTAAATATAAAAGAAGGGGTGACACGGTGGCTTAGTGGTTAGCACTGTCGCCTCACAGCAAGAAGGTCGCTGGTTTGCCATTTCTATGTGGAGTTTGCATGTTTTCTCCTTGTTGGGTTTCCTCCGGGTGCTTCGGTTTCACTCACAGTCCAAACACAGGGCAATTGGATGAACTAAATTGGCCATAGTTTATGAGTGTGTGTGAATGAGTGTGTATGGGTGTTTCCTGTTGGGTTATGGCTGGAAGGGCATCCACTGTTTAAAATATATGTTGGATAAGTTGGCGGTTCATTCCGCTGTGGCAACTCCTAAAGAATAAAGGGACTAAGCCGAAGGAAAATTAATAAATGAAAATATAAAAAAGCACATGGAAAATACATTTTTAAAATAGCTTTTAGAGTGTGATCAGTCAAATATTTGTAAATAAATGTTTTCCTATTGAGTTTTGAGTCAAGCTTTGGGCCAACTGGCACCCTCAAGTAGTCACATTCAAAATAAATGTATTATTCAATTTAATTCAATTCAGCTTTATTTGTATAGCGCTTTTACAATGTAGATTGTGTCAAAGCAGCTTCACATAAATGGTCATAGTAACTGGAACAGTGTGGTTCAGGTTTTAGTGTTTAAGTTCAGTTCAGTTCAGTTTAGCTCAGTTCAGTGTGATTTAATCATTACTGAGAGTTCAAACACTGAAGAGCAAATTCATCGATGTGTAGCTCTACCAATCCTGAACCATGCGAGGCAGTGGCGACAGCGGAGAGGGAAATAAAAACTTCACCTGATGGGAGTGAAGAAAAAAAACCTTGAGAGAACCAGACTCAGTTGGGCACGACCATTTTAATTTCTCCGCTGGCCAAAAGTCTTGTGCAGAGCTTCATTCGCCGTGGTTTAGGCAGGAAGATGGCCTCAGCGAAGACTCGTCTGTCCCTGGAACGTCGCTGGAATCAGACTCATGGTCTCCACTCCCCACGACCATCAGCGCAGCAGCAGCTCAGAATATGGCCTGGTCCTGGATATAGAAACCTTGGGATCATCACGTCGCTGGTCTTGGATCCAATCAGTAATCCAATCCAATATGTAATTGTGACACACACAAATAAAAAACAATATATACAAAACTTTTTTGTGACAGATAATTTACATTTTTACATAATTTGCATCACTGATATGCCAGCTTTTTATGTGTCTCCACTTGTATTTTTCCCCATTCAACTTTAGCAATGATCTCTAACTTTTTCATGTTTTCAGGTCTCCTTGTGGTCACCCTGATCTTTAGTTCCCTGCACAGATTCTCAATTGGATTTAGATCAGGACTCTGGCTGGGCCACTGTAAAACCTTAATGTTTTTGTGTTCTAGCCATTTCTTCACTGCCTAGGGCACAGGTGTCAAACTCAGTTCCAAAAGGGCCGCAGCTCTGCACAGTTTAGTTCCAACCCTAATTAAACACACCTGATCAAACTAATTGAGTCCTTCAGGCTGGTTTGAAACCTACAGGTAAGTGTGTTGGAGCAGGGTTGGAACTAAACTGTGCAGGGCTTCGGCCCTCCAGGAATTGAGTTTGAAACCCCTGGCCTAGTGGTTATTAAATAAATGATTGTAACATGTAATGTTTTACATTAGAGTTTATTTTCACATCTGTGCAAGAAAGAAATTATGGTCATATACAAACATCCATTTTAGAGCAGGTTTTGAGCCAACTGGCACCCTTGATTAATCACATCCAAAATAAGAGTTCGTATTGAAATAATATATCTGTGTATTATGTATATGTGTCACACACACACAGTTAAAAAACAATATATATATAAAACTATTTTGTTACACAGATATTTAAATTTCTATATAATTTGTATAGCATGATATACCAGCTTTTATGTGTCTTCACTTGTATTTTTCCTCATTCGTCTTTATTGATAAGCTCTGACTTTTGCCATCACTCTGATCTTTAGCTCCCTGCACAAATTCTCAATAGGATTTAGGTCAGGACAGGCGATTGTAAATAGTTATGTTTTGTATCTGAGTTTATTTTCACATCTGTGCAAAAAATAATATACATTATATGATTTATTATTACTTATTTATTATTGTATATACATATACAAAAATAATAGACATATACAAACATCCATTTTAGAGCAGGTTTTGGGCCAACTGGCACCCTTGATTAATCACATACAAAGTAAAAGTTTATTTTATCTGTGTATTATGTATATGTGTCACACATACACAGATAAAAAATAATAATAAAATAATGTATGTATATATATATATATTGTAACACATTTTATTTTTTTATCAAATTTGTATAGCATGATATACCAGCTTTTATATGTCTCTACTTGTATTTTTCCTCATTCATCTTTATTGATAAGCTTCGACTTTTGCCATAACCCTGATCTTTAGCTCCCTGCACAAATTCTCAATAGGATTTAGTTCAGGACTCTGGCTGGGCCACTGCAAAACAACAATGTTTTTAGTCTGCTAACCATTTCTTCACTGCCTAGTGATTGTTTAATAAGCGATTGTAAATAGTTATGTTTTGTATCTGAGTTTATTTTCACATCTGTGCAAAAAATAATATACATTATATGATTTAATATTACTTATTTATTATTGTATATACATATACAAAAATAATAGACATATACAAACATCCATTTTAGAGCAGGTTTTGGGCTAACTGGCACCCTTGATTAATCACATCCAAAGTAAAAATTTATTTTATCTGTGTATTATGTATATGTGTCACACATACACAGATAAAAAAAAATAAGCTCCGACTTTTGCTGTCACCCTGATCTTTAGCTCCCTGCATAGATTCTCAATTGTATTTAAGTCAGGACTCTGGCTGGGCCACTACAAAACCTCAATGTTTTTGTCTGCTAACCACTTCTTCAGTACCTAATGATTGTTTAATGAGCGATTGTAAAATGTAATGTTTTATATTTGAGTTTATTTTCACATGTGTGCAAAAAAAACATTATGGTTTTTATTATTATTTATTTATTATTATATATACATATACAAAAATAATAGACCTATACAAACATTCATTTCAGAGCAGGTTTTGGGCCAACTGGCGCCCTCTGCTGGACAAATGATGTTCTCACAGTCTGACAGGAAACGGACTTTGGCCTCAGTGGAAGGGCTGATCCAGAAAAAGCGTCTTTGATGACGTGTTGCGTGAAGATGGCGGAAGTTCATTCCTGATCTGAGCCGGAGTCTCTCGGTACGGATTCGGTAATAAAACTCTCCGAGGACTGATCGGTTTCGGCTTCACGACTCACATCCGACCCGCCGGCAAATTCGGGTAAGAAACGGACAGAAGGTCTAGATTGTGTGTGTGATGTAGTTTACTGTGTGTGTGTTTCAGTGTGTGTCTGTTGCGTTATACTGGCGCCGAGTCGTGTTGACAGCTTGACCAATCACTTTGACTGTTTCAATCTCGCACAAATGGCCTAATTTTGACATTAGGAGGGAGTAAGTATCGATAACACGTGCCTGAAGGTGTGTTAGTGGGTTTATTGTTTATTAATAGCGATCGGGTCATGTATGAACACATGTGGCATGTTAATACTCGCATGTTGTTCAGCTTTGGAGTTTGTTGTTGGTTTTGGTTTCAGCTGATTCGATGATTTAAATATTTCCTAGCTAAACAGGTTTGTCCTGAAGCTCCTCGCCTGTTTTCAATGATCACTGACAAAAATGCCGCGATAAAAACAGTTTACTGACCAAAACAACGTTGTTTCTATTACTTATTACTTCGGAAACATTGTTAATAGTATAGTAGTTTGATATATGTAGCGTAGTATTTAATATTCGTAGTATGTTTTGAAGTTATTATGAGACAGTATCAGTGATACTATAGTTTTTGTAAATTTTTAGTAATTTATTTTAAGTTTTAGTTACTTTGTTGTGTTTCTATACATATCTATAGTTATATTTAAGGGTTAGTTCACCCAAAAATGGTCATTTACTCAATACGTACTTTTCAAACCTTCACGAGTTTCTGTTGTTCATTAAACACAAAAGAAGACATTTTGAAAAATGCTGGAAACCTGTAACTATTGACTTCTATTGTAGATGCAACACATGGAAGTCAATGGTTACAGGTTTTCACCTTCCTTTATGATACTTTTTAGTGTTCAACAGAAGAAATTAAAGTATAAATGTTTGGAAAAACTTGCCGTGGAGTAAATAGTGAGTACATTTTCACTTTTGAGTGGTGAATTATCACTTAAAAGCTCATTTTAGCTTAAGGTTTAGATTGTTTTAATAGTAAACTAGTATTATAAGGTGTATTAGTTATTTTGGTTAGTTTAAAACAAGAAACAAACCCTTTGGTAAGTAGCCAAAGTAGTTTAAAATGTTTATTAATGCAATCCAGTGTTTCTTATTATAAGTTACTTTTAATAAACAACAATAACCCCACTTTTAGTACATTTAGGTTTTATTTCCAAACTTGTATTTCACAGTAATTGAGGTAACATCTACACAAGTTCCTTTGTAATATATATTATTTTAGTAATATTTCCTTGGGCTTTCATGCAATGCAAATATCATGATATTTAAAGAAAAAACTCTTCCATTAATCAGACATTTACAACACCGTTTCACCCTGGTGTGATCCAGTAAAAATCCCACAAGCTGTTTACGGTGTTTAAAGGAGATGCACTGCAAATTTAGTTTACAGTAATAACATTGACACTAGTGTTTTGAAGGAAACTGTTAAGCGCAGGTCATTTGAGTGCTGTTTTGCTGCTATGAAACTGTTGTTTTTCTCTAAAACTGAACATAATTTGAGTAGATACTAGTAAATGGAAGGAAATAATAATGTTATTTTTAGAGCTCAGTAATATATTGACCCATCTTGGTGGTGAAAATGTGTTGTGCTAAAGATATACTTACTTAAATCAGATTACGTGCTGCTAAGCTGTGTGGAGTTTAGTGCTCGGCTGTTTTATGGTTTTGTGTTTAAAAGAAAGTGTAAAGAGAATCCAGTGAGAGTTGTTTTTAGGCACATTATAAATGTAATGTATTGCTGAAAAACATTGCACAGACAGAAGTATTTAGTACTGAATTGTGGATTTAAAAGTCAAGTTCACCATTATAGTGTTTCAGGATTTTTGGGGCGTGGCTAAAACATTCTCCACCTCTAATACTGTACAATAATACTGCATATTAAACCTAATTTATACTTCAATTTTGAGTTATTACCACCAGGGCTTGACATTAACTTTTTTAATCACCGGCCACTGTGGCTAGTAGTTTTCCATTGTTACTAGCCACTCTGCATTTTCACTAGCCACAATTTTGTTGTTGGGAAAATATATTTTATATGCATAAATTTGACGTTGACCTGCTAAAATTACTTGATTTAAATTGTGCTATGTCCACATGCGTCCTCATTCATTTCACTTTTTGTGTGTCGAGTATGAGCTTGCTCAGTGAGCATGAGCAAATGAGTCATGGTTTCATAGTGTTATATTGCAATTAGTTTTTATTTCACATGATATTTTATTTAGAGCTCAAAATTAACGATTTACTAAATTTATTTCTATAACCACACTAAACAATAATTATTTCTTAGACACAAATTTTTAATGTGTCAAAACAAGCAAAATATAGCTGTATACTATACTTTCTATTTAACAAAACATTTCTTAAAAAAGAAAGAAAAGCAATTGACTATTAAAAAATAACATATTGTCATGTATCAAAAATATGCTGGGTAATCTGTTGTGGCTAAAGATCTCTCGGATCACCAGTTGATTGCACATAAATGG